CCTGACCTTGACCTTGACCTCAAACTTAAAATTAAGTACATTTTTTTTAGTAGTTCGTGATGAGAGCTTTCGATTGGCGTTTGAATTTTCCAAATCGGACCATTAGTTCGGGAGATAACAGGGGGGGTAAAATTTACCCCCCCCCAGCCCCGCGCGTTCGGCTGGAGACCCCAGCCCCGCGCGGGTTAAGGTATACGCAATGACATGTGGCATTGCAAAACAACAGAAACGTGTATAATTGGAATTCGTCTCATCTAAAGATAATTGCAGAGAGCAGCAGCGTCCCCAGACAACGGCGGATTAAATCAAAGCAAACTGATATGAAAGATGGTAAGCGAATTTGCTCACCATGAGGATGAGCCCTTAGTGTTTGAAAAGCCGCGGCAAATGGCCTTTTGGGGAAAATCTCATCTGATCTGACGACGGATGCGCCTGCCCCCTTGTGTGTGGTTTGCCGATTTAGCTGGAGGAATTGTCCTTTCTGCGGACGGTGTGTGAGGGTGGTCTTAGCTGCCGCCAGACCCCACCAGCGCCATCAGCCGAGGTCGAAGGCCGGCAACCACAACGACCAGCGGTAGGCGCAACGACAGACTTGATTACGGGCGACGCGGTGTCCTCCACTATTATGAAGAACCGGTTTCGGCAAGACAGTCAAACATATTGTACCCACCTACACAACACTTACTACCAGGAAGCGGTTGAACGCTTTGAAGACTTGATCTGCATGGATATGTGTGCCTGACAATACCTCAAGCATCGAGAAAAACGCATCTTTATTCTTTATTCAAGCCTCAATGGCGTGATGGAAAACAATCGCCGTTGGAATGCGCTAAGTAGATCTGCCAGTCACGTCCGATGCAGCGTTTCGCCTTTATTTAACACGAGTAGAAGATAGAGAATGCTAGGTAGGTGCTGACGGTAAAAACAAGTTTAGACAATGAGGAAATGTCAGACTGCTAATATTAATCTCAATTTATCTTAACGTAAAAATGATTGTTAAAACTGAGTTTCGAGTAACACTTACGCGAAAAGACAGTGAAAAGTTCAAGTAGTCCATGTAAAAGTCCGTTCACGGCGCACCACGTGTCACCGGATCGAGGCTTTTCCTGGCACCAGCGTATCAGCCAGCAGGCGCACCTAGCCTTCGCCAATCCAAACTGCAACAATACTTCAGGCTACACAGACTGCGACACACTCCACGGCCTATAGCTTGTGACGCCAGACTTCCAGAGCCAGACACAGGCAGTCTGGTACTGTTTAAATTGCCTCCAGAAAGCTATGAAAGCATCCGCTCTTACGTGACGATCTATATCAGAAAATAAATTGTGTGATATGAACAACAAGAACGCGATTGACCTAGTAATGGCATCTACAGCATGTGGTTTACACTTTACAAGGCGAGTGGTAGATTGGTCAATAAACATTAACAACGTAACATCTGCTTCCATTGAGCCGAGCAGTTTACCGGAGAGTGTCTTATATGTAGCTTAGCTGTCTGACCTGGCCTCCAAACCTCAAACCAGGTCTCTTAACCCTCGATAGGCGAGGGCCTTTTTCATAAAACGGGCGGAGAGGGGGGTTGGTTGGTTGGTACAGCCCCCCCCCCCCGGCGATTGGCTCCTTTGGCACTTAGAAACACCAAATTTACACGGTAGAAGGACCCATAGGAAATCTCGACCCTCTGCAAATTTGGTGACTGAGTAGAGTCTGGGTCAATATTTAGGGGGTTTCGGCCTTCGGGGGTATAAGTGTAAAAAATTCGCTAAAACACGTCAAAACTTTTTCGCTTATAACGTCTGATCTAGCTAAGGTAGAGCAAACATAAAAGCACCAGTGAGTTATGGAAAGCGGTTAAGCGGTTATGGAACGCGATTGGCCGGACGTCGTAGAATCTTCGCCGTTCGAGAGACATCGAACGCGGGGTAAATGGTCGGGGATGAACAGCCGACCAATAGTCGTTGACCCGCTCCTAAAAATAATCAATAAACGGTGGTGGACGGTCCTAAACGTCTCAGAAATTTGACAGCGTTTAGAAGTTATGAATGATCGCTTTTAAACCTGCCGGCACGCATCGAAATGTATCATTTCTTGGACCCAAAAGTGATAATCACGCGAATATACCTTAACCCTATTCCTGGCGGGCTCCGCCGGGACAAGAAACTGGCGGGGGGGGGGGGCCGATTCGGCCCCCCCCCCTGAGATCTCGAGAACGAAGCCAGATAGCGACAAGCGGTAAACGGCATCGGATAGGCACGGTCAAGATCTACAATTTTTACAAAGGTCATTTTCAGGTCAGGTCAAAGATGACGTCACAGGGGTCGAAAAAGTCAAAATGGCGGCGCTAGATATGGAGAGAGTTTTTCTCGAATAACTTTCGAATTAGTCAAGATAGGAACAAACTAAGGGCATCATCGTGATCCTCTCGTCAATCCGCATCGAATGATATATATGTTGACCTCGAAAGGTCAAGGTCAAAGGTTGACCTCAGGTCACGTGACCTCGAGGTCATCATGTATATCATTCGATGCGTCTTGACGAGCTGAACACAATGAGACCATCCACGCGTCTGTATCTTGTTCCTGTACGGAGTTATTGGCCAAAAACCTTTGGTGACCTTTGATGACGTCACATGACCTCACAGCTGCCCAACAGCAAAACAGACCTCAAGGTAGTGAAGGTTGATCGTATATGAAGTCATGTATGGTATATGGGGCCATTCCGACCCGTTTTAGTGGTAAAAACAGGGAGTTGATTTTTCCCCCATTGACTTATAATGGGGAGGTCGCGAAACTGACCTGACCTTAGGTCACCGATATCAAAATTCCGAGATATACAAATTGCACATACTGGTACCCTAACTAAAGCCTGAAGAGAAGAAATTGATCGGTCAAAAACTCTAGCTCTGGCGTGATTGCAAACTTTTCTGAGGTAGGGTCACCAAACCGTCTCTGGTGACCTGACCTGAGGTCAGATCAACTCAAAATTTTCAGACATGTTGCGTAGAAGCCTTTTAGGAAAAGTCAGAAAATTTGAGCTTCCTAGCTCAACGCGTTTGGGAGAAAGAACCAAAAAACCTCAGGGGGGGGGGGGCTCCTGAGGCACCCCCCCGCCAGGAATAGGGTTAACAATAATGGAAACGCATTCCAACATCAACGCACGAAAATACATTATATGCCCCACGTTTCCGAAACTATCAATATCAAATCAGTAAAAACATCAAAGCTTTGGATCTGATAGCCAGAGCTCAGATTTTGTCGCTAATCCGGTTTGCGATCCATTCATGAAAAAACGTCATATGCGTAGAGACCTTGAAAAGAGACTAAAACCATCGGCCAATCTGCTATTTTCCATTGTCACATTGATTTCCCTTAGATGAGACCATAATTTTGCCGCTCTTTCTTACGTTCTTATGTCAATGACATAAGCCAAACTAGTTCTTTTTTAGTCACCATGGCTACAGTCCTAAGTCGTCTTTGGACATCGTCCACCAGAAACATAATATAATAACGCATATCACGAACTCGGTTTGTTATCGATCAATTACCCAGCGGTGCCACCCTTGTGGCGGCTGGACGGCCGTTTTCCAGAATCATTTCGCGGATTAACCGATATGGAGGCAAATAAGCGCAGGAAACAGCCAACATCCGCCGAACCGGTCAAAGGCCACTGACGCAGCCCGCCGCTCGCCGCCCCCACACCCCACCCGCCAATGCCGAAAACGACCACATCAGCGGCCGGGGCGGCGGCGTGGGAGCTGCTCAGCGGCTCGAGCTGGTCCTCCTGCAGCCGGAGCCCGGAGCGGTACCAAACACGGCCGAAAAAAACGGCGCGCTACACCGACTCGCACTGCTCGGCGGCCGGCTCAGACGCTGCCGGGCACCCGTGTCAACCTGGTAAAACATAAAGTTTTCCTATTGACTGTCATCGACTGAGCGGTTCAAACGATGTCGATAAGCAGGTTTATCAGATAAAGTTGGAAAATATCGGGGAGTACAGCCCGCGAACGTATGTGTACACCAACTACACATGCCATAACAGTGAGCAGTAACGGACCGTCCGAGAGTTTTCAGCCCCCGTTCGATAAATGTACGCCAAACCACAGAACACAGCTACGATCATAAAGACATCCTATTATGTACATTGATGATGGTCTCTGAGACATACAGGCGAACATAAGGGACAGACATACGAAAAAGCCTGGATATATCAGCAGTAAGTTTCTATACCGGTTATCTATGACATGTTCATAGATGAAAAGAAATTATTTTGATCTCTTCCAATCTTGCATCAAGTACTGTGTATCCCTATACGATGAACAGCGGACCTGATATAATATTGAAGCGAGAGACTAATATGAAACACATTAAACACAGAATAGAATGAATAACAATGAACGCTGACCTGACAGTAGCGCTGAATGACAGCTGGGTGACCCCTGGCCTAGCAGTGGGGACAGTATGGGTGACCGCCGACCTGGCAGCCGCAGTAGGGGGCAGTATGAGCTCTGGCCTGGCAGTAGGGACAGCATGACCCCTGACCTGGCAGTCGTGACAGCATGGGTGACACCTGACCTGACAGTAGGGGGCAGTATAAGCTGTGGCCTAGCAGTGGGGGCAGCATGAAACAGTGACCTGTGACCTGGCAGTGGGAGACAGTATAGGTGACCCTGACCTGGCAATGCATGGGGACAGTATGACTTCTGACCAGGCAATGCATGAGGACAGTATGACTTTTGACCTGGCAATGCATGGGGACAGTATGACCTCTGACCTGACCGTGGGGGAAGGATGACAGTGACCTCTGACTTGGCATCGGGGGCAGTAGCTGACCTGGCAAAGGGGGCAGTAGCCGACCTGGAAAAGGGGGCAGTAACTGAACTGGGTGGAATGACACAATGATCTGTGACCTGGCAGTAGGGACCCTGACCTAACAGTGGAGGCAGTAGCTCAGCTGGCCGCTGGGGACCGTATGACCTGTGATCTGACAGTGGGGACACTGACCTGGCAGTGGGGGCAGTAGCTGAGCTGACCGGTGGGTGTGGCCGCCGCCGTTCGCAGAGTGTCGGCCAGGCGATCGGTCGGCGGCAGCAGTCCCGGGGCGGCCGTCACCGCCCGATGAAAGGTGACCACGAAGGCAGCCAGTACCACGCCGGACAGGCCGGTGACGTACAGCGGCACCAGAGCGTCTGCAGTCGGCACGCTAAGGAACATCGGCGCTCTCGGCCAGCCGGCCTCAGACAACAGACACCGGCGCAGGCCCGTCACATTCCCCGGCCACAGCCAGTGTCAGCACGACACGCCGCCGCCGCTGGTCAGACAACGCTTCAGACCAGACACGCTCCCCTGCAGCCAGACACGCACGCAAAACCAGGGCCGATCGTCCGAGGCCCTCCCGCACACTATGTTTACGCCGGCTGCATTCATGAATGGGTTTCGTGACTCAGTTGAAGAAGTTGAGTGGTTGCCAATTGGACTTTTGTTTGCCATGCAGGGAACAATGCACATCTTCCTATGATTCCATTGGCATGATCATTTTTATCTCATTGTCTACATTTCCGGTGCTATATGTTTTCCAGAGGATTGATATCAACATCACTCCCATAACCATAACGCGCAGGGCCAACTTTTTCAGGGCATCAAAGTGGACCGAACATTTCGCTGACGTAACCGTTCATTCACGGAATTGGTCCGATCAGTGCCGGCGGCTGCGGCGCGTCAGTAAAAAGCGGCCGCCGGAAAACCTCGCCAGCGCCGGTCACCCTTTTTAGCGTCTCCCGGCACGGCAGGGGCAGCTGCGACCGGCGCCGTGCGCACGTTCCCGGCCACACAAAAATCTACCATCCGCGGCTGATTACACCCAGCAGCACAGAACGGGAGACAGAATACAGACCCGCAATGCGAGCATCCCACCACAAGGACACAACATCACAGGGAGGACAGATCACTAATAAAAATGCTCAGCGATTTCCTTATGGAGCCATTCCTGTTCAAAGGCGGCAAATCGTGAGCCCATTAGCTTTTTAGGAAAGGTTGCTTTGAATGTAGCCGCCGGCACACCAAGCGAGTAATATCAGAGAGGGCGGCATGAGAGATCGGGAGAGCTTGTTGAATGTTTGCAAGTGTCTTTGGGATATTCTGTGGCGTACGGAGAGAAGAAGACGAAGAGAGAAGACAGGCGGCAAGAAAGGGGACCAGGGAGAGACAGAGACAGAGACAGAGACAGAGACCGAGACCGAGACCGAGACCGAGACCGAGACCGAGACCGAGACCGAGACCGAGACCGAGACCGAGACCGAGACCGAGAGAGAGAGAGAGAGAGAGAGAGAGAGAGAGAGAGAGAGAGAGAGAGAGAGAGAGAGAGAGAGAGAGAGAGAGAGAGAGAGAGAGAGAGAGAGAGAGAGAAGCACTGGAATAAGCGTGACCGAAGGGATTTCTGGACCGGCCGGCGCAATATTGGCCGGAAGCGGGTGGGTGGTGGCGCCGGACCGTGTGGGCGTCTGGTGACGGATGGCGTGAGTGCCGACCCGTCGCCGGCCGTCTGCGGCAGACACTCCCCCGGCCGACACACAGAGCGGTCACCCCCCGCCAAGGCCAACGCAGCGCGCCAAACACCGACCGAGTGCCCCGCGACTAGTGATGTCAATTATGGAAAATCGGAATACCGATACCAAACCAAATACCAACCAAAACCGTGGGGAAATACCGAAACCAAACCAATTTGGAATCATGATGAAAATACCAACTTTTTACCAATTTTTTAGCCTCTTATACATTAGTGAGGGCTCATGATACCAACAAAATACCGATTACACTAGGATTGAAATACCAAATACCAAGTTGGTATCGGTTTGGTATGTAACTATCGGTATACCAAAAAGTTGGTATCCGATTGACATCTCTACCCGCAACCATCCGACTGCGACAGACAATGAGCCCCTGCACACCGGCTGACAGCCGCACCGGCACTCTGTAACCATGTACGGTCACATAACAAAGCCCCAAGATAAGCCTAATGAAAAGACATTTATGGTTGTCCGAATCTTCAATGATCCTCAAAGCAAATACTTATTCAAAGAGGTTTAAAATCTTTAAATAAATGTAATCCGATGTTACGATGCTAGCTTTTAAGCCTACCTACAGCCGAATCTAAAAAGGGCATCAGCACAAGCGACATTAACCCGCGCCGTGCTGGGGAGGGCGTTTTTACGCCCCCCCCTCAGGTTTTTCGCGAATATCTCAAAAACGGCGGCGCGCAGCGCCGCCGTTTTTGGTACACGTGTTCCTACATCATTTCCGCACATGTTGTGAAAATTTCAGACCTAGGCCGTTCAAGGTCAGGTCACCAGGTCACGTCAAGTGACCTTACCTCAGAAAAAGTTCAAAGGCTCGCTATAGCTACACCGACTGAACGATCACTTTGAAACTTTCAGCGATTGATATGAGTAACAGTATGTATAAAATGTATATCTCGGATTTTTGATATCTGTGACCTAAGGTCAGGTCAATTTTGCGACCTCTCCATTATAAGTCAATGGGAGAAAATTGAAATGCGCCTCTTTTGGACAAATATCGTTCAAAACGCTCTCAAACATCGGTTCATAGGTAAACATGACACACTGAATAGGAAAAATGCACCTGTGACCCCTCTGTGTGCCCCTGAGGTCATCTCAGGTCATGAACGGTCGCCAGCAGTTTTTTGGCTATAACTTTTGATAGAGACGTGCTAGAGCGGTGAAAACACGTCAGATGTGTTCAGCTCGACGATACGGATCGACTGATATGCAACATGACCCTTTTCGGTCAGGTCATGACCTTGACCTGAGGTCAAATTTTCAAAATGACCTTTCAAGGTCAACAAATAGTTCATTCGACGCGTCTCGACGAGAGGAACACGATGCTGGCAAAAGTAATGTCATGGCGCTTATGAGTCAAAAGTTATTGACGAAAAAACGTTTTTCGTAAAAACGGCTATTTTTGGAGTTTTTGCCCTCTGGAGGCTAAACCGTTGACCTGAGGTCAAATCTGAGAACATTACTCAGAAAGGTCTGTAAAAGGGCTATCGAATGCGCTTTTCCGCGGCGCTGTAGCTCTATCGGTTCCCGAGATAGCCGTTGGCAGTTTCCAAAATGTTGAAATAGTCAACATTTTACCTTTGGTGACCTCTGGTGACCTGACCTTTGACCTGACCCAAAAAATGACCGAAGTGTTTTCGTCCTTATTTTTGACGCTCTTTCGATTGCCGCTTACCGCGTGGCGCTACGTGGCCCAGGAGCCGAGTTAGACGGGGGGGCGTGAAAACGCCCCCCCCCAGCACTCGGCGGAAAGTTCAGGCCACCAGCACGGCGCGGGTTAAACGATCGGTGGTACACTTGGAATCGTGTTGAAATGCTTTAGCGATCCACACAAGCCGCAAATTCTTTACACAGGAAAGAGGATCCGCTAGATGAGCGCCACAATAACAAAATGCTGTAAAGGCGATCCAAATCCTGAGATCGCCCCCTTTTTATGACAGTCTGTAAGCCGTGTAAATAGCCTGATGCCTATCAGTTAAAGGGAATATACCACCGGGCTGACCCGGCTGAGGATGCGGTTGAATAAGGCAAACCAAGGTGGTAACACTACTCCAAGCGATCTTAGCCGCGCCCGGCAAGGATCCAAGAATATTGAGGATTTTTTCAGGTCATCTCATGGAAATAAGCGTTGAAGTTACCGGTGAGAGCCAGTGTCTAACACATCTGTCACTGCTACTCAGCTGGTTCCCTTTGCCACCCACCTGGTCCCTTCATTATCCGCATACCACCCGCTCGGTCCTCATACCACAGGCCGCGACCCTGCAACCACTTCTCTGGCACCGGCCCCCAGCCTGCTGACGTACTGTCCCCAGTTCCCACCAGTACCAACTCACAAACTAACCACAGAACATGCCAAAAATATACCTTCACATCCTTGTGATTGACATGCAGATATGGGACAGTTGGGCGCCTGACAAGACTAAGTTTCAAAACGCTTAACAGCCCTTATCAAGCGCTGGACATCATACTACTGCTGGGACACAACCCAGCGATACGGCAGATACGACCAGCGTGTTACACCGGCCATCAGCCGCTGACACTGTTCCGCTCCATCTGAAAGGACGGTCGGTGTGCGACCGTGTCACGTCTGAGGAGCTGGCTGTCGGCCGTCGCGGGACGGACCGCGGCAGGACAGGCAGACGGGACGGATCGGGCCGCCGTCTCCGGACCAGCAGCAAAACTAACGGGGGAATGGAAATAGTGTCCTCCACTGAAACACGCTAGGACTAGGGGTATTACGCTGCTCCCCATTTAGTCATTAGCTTTCACTGCCGCTGAGGTATGCAGGTCCACTTTCAAACAGTAACGTTTGGATGACGCTGGGTTTTAGGAGCGCCCGGTCTATGTCGATTATCGGCGCCCACAAAAAATTGTAGGGCAATATTTAATAACGATTTTAATCAGCTGTGACAACAGCACCATCACCGACCACAAAAACCGCATTTGTTTAAACAGTTGATTAAGTAACTATTCAAGGTCCACCAAGAGGACATGGCGGACATCTTGACGAGGATGCGAGGAAAACTTCGAACTTCTTGCTTCAAGGTCTGTAGATTATTGGATGCATGGAACGTCTTCAATCCTACGCTGTGTGATGTAAGGTAATGATATTTTTGGGGAAACAACTAGTCTGGAAGTTGGATGAAACAGCTCCTGTAAGTACAGGTCTCGCGGGTTTTAAGGGTAGGTTTTGCCTTTCCGGCTATATCTTTTTCGTCTTCAGCTTTGCAGGCTTTAAGATGTGACCGATTTACTAGTATAGCTCCCTACCATGATCATGGAAAAAGGTTTGATCGTATGCCGGCTAGTTTCGGAGAAATTTAAAGAAAACCTCAAAATCTGCCGTTTGGGGCATTCTGGCCGCGGCTTCCCTGCAGTCGCCTATGACTACAGTGGTGCCACCCAACGAGTAGGACGCTGAAACACAGAGGCATGAATGAATCCAGCGCGTGGTGAACGGTGGATAAAGACGGGACTCGGCAGAGGCTATCACTGCGGCCCGCCGCGCAGGGCGTCCTTGGACAGCGGCCGAGCCCTCGGGCGATGAGACCAGAGGTCACGAGAGCCCGGCGCACATGAAGGGGAGCCGCTCGCCTCAGCCTTGTAACTCAGCT